CTAACACTCCTGGCCGGCTAAGTAGAGAGGAGGAGGACTCCATCATCGAGACGGTCATTGGACCCAGTAGGAAGAACAGATACCGGTAGAGAGGATCCGAACAGAGGCTGCACGAGTCTAGTAGCACCTACGAGTCTGCAGCACCACAAGGAACACCAGGAAGTAGTTCATATCAAGACTCGATGGAGCAGCGATTAAAAGCAATTGAAGATTGGCAGTCGCAGCAAATAACATATCAGCGGGTTGCAGAGGAAGAACGGAGGCGCCGGGAGCAGACCGTATTGGAGTTCACACAATTCATGTCGACTCTGCCTCAGGAGGCTCAGGAGGCATATAGGAGACGGTTTCTGTCGTCACAGGTAATATATATACTTTGCTTTTTTTTAATTAGATGATATCGTACATACTGATACACACTGATACAAACTGTTACACACAAACCCTAACTCTAACCCTAACACAAACCTCAAAATATATACTTATAATGTTTTTATGTGATGGTGGTGTTAATGGTGTATGCGTGCGTAGTGTTGGTGGTATTGTTTGGTGGGTTGGTTGGTTGGTTGGTTGTGGTGTTGTTATGGTGGTTATGTGATTGGTTGTGGTGTTGTGTTGTGGTGGTCGTGGTGGGGGGGAGGAATGGGGATTGGGTGTTGATGGTGGTGATGGTAGTGGAGGGGGGGGAGGGGGTGTGTAGAGTGTGATTGGTTGGTGGGTGGGGGCTTTGGTCGTGGTTGAGGATTTGTGGTGGTGTTGTTGTGTTGTGGTGTGATGTGTGGTGATGTGTGGCGATGTGTTGTGCAGTGTAGTGTTGTGTTGTGTTGTGATGGTGTAGTGTTGTGTTTGTTGTGTTGTGGTGTTGTGGTGTTGTGGTGTTGTTGTGATGTTGTGGTGTTGTGTTGTAGTATATTTATATTTGCACTTTTATTAACGTTTACACATACTTGTTAACATTTGATTTATATTTACAGGCCAGGACTTCTTCACAAGGTACAGCCTGGGATAGTCATAATGCGGCTGGTGTTGAGGATGAGGATGATGATGATCAGGAGGATTGATTGTCCTTAATATAACTTTGCAAACAATTTCTTGTGTTGTATAAACAATATTTATTATGTACCCGTCGAGAAACTTTTACTTGCTTTTATTGAATTAAATGTGTGATATATGCGTGAGATGTGATATTTGCGCGAGATTGAATATTATACTGTTGATTGAACAGGTTTTTAAAAATTATTATCGTTATTGTACAGGGTTTTTTCAATTTTCAAAATATTTTCCAAATTCCTTTTTTAAAAGTTTTAGCGACAGAAATTCCGTCACTAAATTAATATTTAGCGACGGAAATTCCGTCACTAAATTAATATTTAGCGACGGAAAACATGCACGAAATCATATCTGACGAATTTAAAAAAATATTGGCGACGGAATTTACGTCGCTAATAAAGTTTTAGCGACGGATTAATCGTCGCTAAAGTTTTATTAGTGACGAAAAATCCGTCGCAAATATTTTTTTTAATTTTTAATTTTTTTAAAATAGCGACCATTTTTCCGTCGCTAATAAACCGTCGCTAAAAAATTAGCGACAGAATTTTCGTCGCTAAAAGTGTTTTCAGGGACCCCTGTAATAGCGTCGAACTTTTAGCGACGGAAATTTATTTTTTCCGTCGCTAAAAGTTTTAGCGACGGAATATCGACTTATAGCGACGGATTTTTCCATCGCTAAAAATAAAAAATCCAACAGTGATCTAGGAATTACTACTGACGCCACTCCTCTTAGGACAACCCCGTCTCTCACTACACACTCCTCTCGGTGTACAAGTGTGATACAACGTGTATCTCACAATCAAGCTCAATTACAATAAAATGTTCTCTAATTGGATGAGAACTCAATGTAAGCTCAATCTCACAAGTCACAAACCCACAACCCAATATATAATGTATGAAATGCTACAAGCTCAAGTAGGGTGTGTGTGATAAAATGAGTATAAATAAAATCTAACTCAGTTAGCAAACTAGCAATAATAAGAATATAAAAATCAATAATAAAATTGCTAGAGAAAAGAGTTAGAAAAAAAATATAAAAATCAATAATAAAATTGCTAGAGAAAAGAGTTAGAAAAACTTCTCTATAAACACAAAGAGGTTGAAGAAGATTGAGGATGAATTCCTCAATTGAAAATGCAAGCCTCCTATTTGTAAACTCAAACTTAGAAACTTAAACAAACTTTAAAACACTTTAAACTCCTCTATAAAACCCTCTTCAAAAACTTAATTCTGATGAGAACAATAGGGATTTATATAGGAAGAAAAACCAAGGCACAAAACCCAAACAAATCCAGCAAAAAGACAAAAAAATAGAAGGCTGGAAAAACTAGCCGTTGGGCCGTCAGTCGACTGACGGGTTTCATCAGTCGACTGATGAGCTGACCGTTGTAGGCATTTACCATCTCATCAGTCGATTGACGACCTTTATCAGTTAACTGATGGATCATCAGTCGACTGACCAGTCGACCAAAACAAAACAGAAACTTTTTGATGATTCCAGGCACATTCTTCAGTTGACTGATCAGTCGACTGATAACAGGTTTTCAGCTTGTATTGAATAGTAAAAACCAACTTTGAAGAGCTTTAAAAAATAGCAAATAAATTTTAAAAAATGTAAAACTTTGAGAAAAGTTTATAATCATGAATATGAACATGTTAGAAAAGGAATTTTTCAAATTACTCTTATCATTTGTGAAAACTCAGAAATATTCAAAAGTGCTAAAATACATGTTTTTCAAATACGTTGTTTTTACCATTTTAGCTCAAATCAAGTTCTAAAAACCTGTGCAATCGTTTCATGGACATAATAAAAGATGTTAGCATAGTTTGTATAGTCCAAAATATATTTGAATATATTTTGCATAAAGACACCTATTTTCATGAAAATTCATAAATGTAATGTGTGTGTATATTTGAGCTTATAGAATTAACACACATTATACAAACCTTAAACTAATTTACCTAAGCTTGATAGATCTTCATTGTAGTTTGTCTTGGTAAATATGCGGATGAAGCTTGAACTTGGATCTTGACTAGTATGCATAGACTTCATTCTACTATTCCGCCAATCCTCCATTTGATGTGATCGTGAATGCTCAATTCATCCAACCTCCAACTTATTATTTGTCTAAAATACCTAATAAGAAAATATAAACACTAGACAAACAGTATTAGAAATTATTTGTAATCATCAAAACAATATTAGAAGATGTAGGCTTATAACATGAGACCTAACAATATAACGCAAAATATCAAGTAATTGTTAATATATGTCTATTAAAACTCACGAAGTACCTATTAATGTACATTAACTCTTAAATTGTTAAATTTTAACTTTCTTTGTTTAATGTTTTTAGTTCTAATAAAATTGTAGTATATATTTTACTAATTTTTTAGTTCTAATGTTGCAAGAAACTTTTGTATAAATCCTAGCTCCAACAAACCTACGTAGCCTTTCTCAAAAAACTTATGAGTGCTCGGGTTATTTAAGATCCAATTACGAGTGAGTCCATCCCTTAAGACATGAGTGATCAAAGAGCCCATTAACATCGAAAGAGCTCAGCCGCCTTTGTTCTTTCATGTTCTTGCTCATTAACCACAATCATAGTGGTCCATGAATATGTCGTTATTGTAGTCGGTCTCTGTCATTATACTTTATATGGAACAACTAAAGGTTAATAGTTAATCAACTATATTTCACATGTACAACACAAAACTTAACATTTAAAACAATAAAGATAACAGTTACTCAATTATACTTATATGGGAACAACTAAATATTAGTAGTTAATCGGCTATAGTTCACATGTACTAGGTAAAACTTAATAGTTAATAAACAAAACTTAACATTTTAAAGAAAAAAGTTAACACTTACCCTACTATACTTAACATGGAATAGTTAAACGTTAATAGTTACTTTGCAATAGTTTACTTGTATTAGGTAAAACTAAATAATTAATTTACTGAATATTTATACATCCATTATTTTAAATGAATATTTTTGTATGTAGTCTTTTATTTTTTTTAATTATCAACGCATCATGTACAAACTACATATAATTTTCAAGCCAACAAAATGACCTATATACAATAAAATTTTAAACAAAGATTAATCCACTCAACATCTCTTCTCTTCCTTTCAAAACACGGTCCCCATCTAGTATCCACAAAGTCTTCGATAAAGTAAATACAATTGCTTCTCACTCTAGGAACATCTCGGCTAGATATACACGTAGACCAATTAATTGCTTCCAATAAACAGAGCATAATCACACAATCCTTTTCCATGGAGCTTGAAGACAGAATGACATTTTTGTAAATTTCTTCGGGTGAGGATATTGGGAAGAACTCGAGTATAGTGGAGATTGGAGGGAGTCAGATTTGGGATTGAGTGATGGGATTGAGCAGTATCATCTCCAATCGGTCATCGGTGGTGACCAACCAACCGTCGGTGGAGCCCATGCAAAGTTAGTAGCAGAGTGGAGGATTGCCAAGGAGGAAGGAGGATGAGGAAGGAGAAGGAGATGAGGAAGAGGGTCGTCGGTGGATCCCATGCAGAGTCGGCGACGGACTGGAGGTTCGGGGAGGGAGGAAGGAGGATGATAGAGGAGAGGATGAGGAAGGAGAAGAGGAAGAGGATGAGGATCGTCGGTGGAGCCCATGCAGTGTCAGCGACAGACTGGGGGATCGCCGAGGAGAAAGGAGGAAGAAGGATGATGAAGGAGAAGGAGGAAGAGGATGAGGAAGGAGAAGGAGAAGAAGGGTAAATTTCGATTTTTTTAGGTCAAATATGGATTAATCATGAGCTGGAGTGACTGCGCCACATTTTTTGAAAAACTTGGGAGCTGCAGCACATTCCCAAAATTACGAGGGGCTGAGTACATTGCGTTTTGAATTTGGGGACTTGAGATAATTTTTCCAAAAAACAATCAAAAAATTTGGTGGTATATAAAAAAACACTTTTATGAACAAAATCATAAATCCTCTTCTCTCAATGGAAAATCCTCAGTCGACGGCTCGAAAACTAATTCCAATTGTAAGTCATTTAGATTCTTTTTACTAAATTTGTTATTTATTTAAATTCCAATCTCAATCTCACAGAATTATCTCGTACGTTTTTATTTTTATTTTTATTTTCATTTTTTTCACCAGCTGATTGCTTCATCGGTTCGAAGATGCCAGATCTCGGGAGTTCTCTGTAGATTGACAATCTCCCTTAAGTTTTTCTGCGATTCAAACCCTAAATCTGTTCGCATTTCAAGTAAGATTAAAGAATTTTGAGTACTTCGATTTGATTAGGGTTTTACTAGTGTGCAATTATCTCGTAATTTTGCAATTCCTTTAATTTACTAACCCTAGAAGTTGGTTATCTTTTTGGATGTTCTTGCGAATAATTTTTGCCACATTTTAGCAGAATTTATTTGTGATTCAGTGGTTTTGAAGAGTTCGTGATTTTCAGAGCAAATTCAAAAATTCCTCTCTGATTCCTTGTCAGAGGTCAGAAGTCCCGTTTCATTGATAAGAAAATAATAATAAAAAGTTACATGAAGCAGACCATAAATTTTCTCAAAAAATAAAGTAGACTTTAAAAGAGAAACAAAGTACAATACCAAGAGTGATCATTAATGTAGTCCTGGAGGATTTCTCGTCATCTTTTGTCCAGGTACATAAGAAACAACAATCTCGTTTAATCCAAGCTACATTGTTGGATTTGGTCATCTTCTCTTTGAATTCAATACACAGTATATCTACATACAATTAAAATTCCTCACTGAGTTGAGTTCTTCTTCTTCATGGTTGGGCTTGGTTGATTCCTCTATGATTCTAGCTTTTCATGGTCGTATTTGAACACTTAGGCCTGTTTGGATGGAGGGTAGAGAGGGGGAAGGGAAGGGAAGGGAAGGGAAATTTCATTTTAACCTTGTTTGGGAGTTTCATTTTGGAGGGTAGAGGAGGGGAATGGAGGGGAAATTTGGCCCAAATTCTTACACCCCAAATTGGGGTGTAATGGAGGGGAAGGGAAGGAAGGGGAAAAATTCCCCTTCCTTCCCCTTCCTTCCCTTCCCTAAGTAAACTCCCAAACATTAGTCTTAAGTTGCTTAATACTTAAAACAAAACTGAAGCACAGAGAAATGTCAACTTGAGAAGAGCATGTTAAACTATAAACTTATCATCATTTGGGTTGATGCTAATTGTGTTTCATTAGTTACGTGCAATGTACTGAATAATAACTTTTTGATCAGTTTCTGATACTGGCATTGGAAGCAGTTTGGTAGAGTTCCAGGAACTGGAAGTAGAGAGGCTTGGTGTCTCCGACAAATGGGGTAATCACTGAGTTATCTTCTGCTTTGCTTATCAATTTGTACTTTCCTTCACTTCCATATACTTTTTTTGAAAGATTTGTTTTGTTGAATGTGGAGTCGTATATTAGCTTATTTTGACGTGTTATTTGATATACAATAGAGTTTTTTTTGCATATATACCCTCAAATATTGTATATTTGCAAAATTACCCCTCAAATCTTGATATTGCTAAATTACCCCTTAATTTTCTCAATCGAGCTTTTCTATCCCTCACACTTAGCAGTTTTAGTTTTAAACAAAAAAAATATTGCAAACTTATTGGCAATTATTAAATTTTTTAAGTTTTGTACTTTTCAATAACCAAATTTGTTAAGTGGAAGGAGTAGAGAAACTCAATGCGAAAAATCTGGAGGGTAGTTTTGCAAATACCAAGATTTGAGGGGTATATTTGCAAATATGGAAGATTTGTGGGTTATATATGCAAAAAATCTATTTAATAATGAGAGAAGTCATCTTATTTATGACAGAATTGAATAATAAAGAACTTGTCAAGACTAGATTATCATCACTCGTTGAATTTTAGTTGCCGCTGTGCTTGTTTGTCTAGACCTATCTTTAGTTTCAATGCCCTAATAACTACGATCTTTTCAGTTTTCCTAACCGGAACTCTTATGGCTGAGTTGTACTACATAGGATACCTGGACACTTCATCTAGCTCCCGTATCCGTGTCTGTATATGTGTCCATGTCTGTGTCTGACATTCTTTGGATGCTTCTTGAATATATACATACATTTTCAGACATATACTCAATTATATTACACATGCTTCAGTGCAAAATATTTGTGATACACTTCTTGAATGTATATTGCACACTTCAGCTGAAATTTTGCTACTCATTGGACTCGGGACAGACTTGTTTCATGACATACCTAGTTCATATGTATGATTTAAATGTCGTTTGGGTATCTAGTTTTAAAAAGAGCCATTTTTTTATTTATAATCTACTCAATTAAAGAAACATAGAAACACTATAAGGATTTTAGTTCTCATAACATATGAATGAAAAACAATATCGATCTCATGTAGGTTATTAATTTTAATATGTATGTATATAGTCGTATCCCCATATCCTAACTTTTATAGTTTTTAAGTGTCCCGTATCGTCCATATCCTCACTTGCGCCTGTATCCATGTTACCATTAGCCAAAATTCTCCCTCATTTTATCTAACCTTTAACGTCTTACAGTTACATTCATCATCTTATATCCTGTATCCTAGAATAATTTCACTCATCTATTTGACATTCTCATTTCACAACAGATTTCTTGGAGATGTTCTGAATACAACATTCAGATTCATAGAAGTTGCTGGTCTTAGAGCCACCTTACATAAAGTTTTCATAGAAGTTGCTGGTCTTAGAGCCACCTTACATAAAGTTTTCTTTAATTTTAGCTATATGACAATCACATAATCCTTCACAATCTCCTTGCATTTTGACCAGCATGCTTTTATTATGTGAACTACACCCTCTTGAATCTCATCATTGTGATGAAAGCTTGATCCTTAAATATTAACAATAATTTATCCTAGATATTTATTGAGCATTATTCTTCACTATGGTCTCTTTTCTTTTCAGAGTATTTGTAGAGTTTTGTTCCTTGTATTTCATTTTCTTTGTGCTAATTCTAAATCCTCCATAGTCTAGTGATTCTCTCTGCTTTTCTACCTTGGAAATTATCCTTCTTTAATCTTATCAGCTAATACTATATCATGAGCAAACAAAACACACCATGAGTCATCGTCATGAGCCTTATTAGTTAGTACGGTTGTTAACTGCTGCAATAATGCTTGCACAGAACAGATACTAAACATATAAGCCTATGACAAAATTTTCAAAGTTCAAATTTAGTAAACGATAATAGAGGAGCTTGTTAGTTAGAGGGGACAAGAAAGGGGTTTAAAAGGAGACACATCACAAGTTTTAGACTTGAGCTGCAGACACACACACAAAAGTATATGCTGATAATACTTCCACTTAGCTTCTTAATGGGAATAATCATTGTTCATTCATTCTACTCGTCAACGACGACACCAAATAGGAGAAAAAGAGAAGGAGCTCTAGTTAAGTAAGCAGGCAATCTCATGTCTCACCTCATGGTTCTTATATTTGTTCCCCTTTTTGCCAATCATGTAAGTGTTGACAATATGTTTCTTATGATTGCAGATGGTATGATCTCCGTTACAACTACTGGTAAGTTGTTTGTTTGTCTTCTTATGCAAAAAGGAAAGTTGCAGATATGTTTTCTAAATTCTTATTTTTGCTAGGTTAGACTAGATCTCTTCCTACAACATTCAGAAAGTACTGTACTTGTTTAACACACACATACACGTTACTTGACCAGATTAGTAGAGCTACATTCACTCATGCATACAAACATTTTACGAAACTAGAACACTTACAAAGTTTTAATTTTTTTCCAGGTTGTCTTTAAATATAACTCTTCACACCTGATATCTTTTTAACTTATTTTGATATAGGTCCCTAACTAAAATCATATTTGAATATTGGTCCTGCACAAATCCATAATTTTTTGTATCAGGCCCTAATAATTTGAAGTCCACTTCTTATTTAATAGTCATCTTTAAGGTAAGCAGTCTTCTGTTGTATCTTAGTAGCTGCTCCATTTTTATGCGTGTTAATATCTTCTCCGTCAACCTCTGTTCCCTTCTTCCTTCGGTCCTTCATTCCTCACCATTATACTACTTAAAAACAAGAAAAATGAAATACAGGGAAAAAACACTAAAAAAAGTCATTCGTATTTCCTCCACCGTTTCCTTTTGATCAGGAGTGTAATTAGATGGCCCTCTCACATGCAACTCCTTAATGTTCTGTATAATGGAATTTATTGGATATCTGTTCATGACTTCATATCATCATCATGATCACTGATCGAACCTAATATAACACAGGCATCTAATGATTTGCTGGCATAAACAATAGAGTAGATTGTGCATTAAATATTAATTCATAAATTGATTGGTAATTATACGACCCATGTGGTTGTCCTGAAATTGCCCTCAGGGATAAATGACAAGGAAATCCACCACTATCGTTTGAATTTGAATGCATCCAAAACAAAGTTAAAAAGGTTGCCTCCCACAGAGAAAAATTGTGGGACATTCAGGCATGTACCTCATCCTTTTTGTTTAATGGTTGATGTCTTGAGAGCATTCTTGTTGATATATTGCTTGGATATTTCATTGAATGTATTGTAATATTATCCACTGTAGTGGAACAGAAGTGGGTCTGTCAACCTTGGAAGAAGATAAGGCTGATGAACTCATGGCATGGGTTGTTCACTTTATACAAAAGGTTAATCCCTAACCATACACCACCATTGTAGTAAATTATGCTTTTGGTACACAACACATGCACCTTAGTAAGAGAATTCAACTTTGTGGTGCCATGCATGTGCAACTGTTATGATAGGTGGATATATCCTTTCTACCTGGTTGTATTTGTTTATTTATTCCTTCAACATAATTCCCAGTCTCTATAATGTTGCTACTGCCCACTTAAAAACTTTTATCATTGCATTGCTACAGTGACCCAAACGTATGGCGATGCATGAGTTTCTGATTGAGAGATAAGGTTAGGTGGACCCTCATGCCTAAACACCAAGTCAAAGATTTGTTTACATTAGGAATTAAATATAGCTTGAAGAACGTAATTTAGATTGCAAGAAACAGGATATAACAGCATAAAAGGTTTTTTTTTTCCTGAGATGAGATACTTGCCAATCCTTTTTTTTTCTAAGGAAAGACACTTGCCAATATTTAAAAAGGAGTAGTGATATGTAGGGACGTATGACAATACCAGAAGGAAGAAAAACGCCTATATCTAGCCGTTCTCTTCTTCCGTTGCTCTAGTTACCTTGTTGGATTTTATGCACAAGGAGCTTCGTTTGAGTATCATGTTCCAGCACATAGGTAAAAAACAGTACAATTTTAAGGCCAATATGTTTCATCCTTGGATACCACTTCACTGTTAGCATTGTTTGGAACACCTTGATTAGAAATTCAAATATTTATGTCACTCTTCAAATATTTTGAACCTAACAGGTCTCCATTGCTTGATATGTAGAGCAGAATTCAGGACGTTCCAATGAAAACAAACTTATACCAAAATTCCTTTCAACAATACCAATCATCACAACACCAGGTCCTTCAATAATTATGATCTGCATCTTTTAGTATGGGGGACCTCCATACGGAGTAGCAACCTAGAAGTATTGCATTTGAACCTGAACCTGAATCTTTGTTACTTGTATATTTCTTCAGTTATTCTGTTTACTTCCAGCCAGTTTCTTATAGGAATGTCTGGCACTGGCATAACAAACTTGTTTTTTTGGCTGGTCAATCCTGATGTTCTGATGAGCCGTGTGTTGGTATTAGGGGTGCAAGATCATATCCGTGCCCGCGGATATATCTGTAACCGTATCCATTAGGATACAGATATGGTTACTCAAAACTAAAGACAATAGGATATGGTTACGGATAAGGTTATGAAATAAAATACCTGGATCTTTGTCCGAAATATTCGAATATATGTTGATCATACAACTACAATTGTTTCAGTCCTTAGATTAATGAATTTGTGACTAATTTCAATGATCAAGAGATAAAATTTTAGCTTTTCAAATATAACAAACATATTAATGGACTCTCTTGTATCGTATCAACTATATTTTTCAGATTTTATTTGTTCCTCATATCCGTTATGTAAGCGCATATATATCTGTTTCTGTATCCATATCCGATTTTAGCAGATATGGATATGAGTTTTCCTTACCTAGGCATATCAGTATTTATATCTTTATCTGTGATTGGCAAGTGGGTATGGATAAGGCAAGTATCATGTCCGAGCCGTACCTGGACCGTTTGCGCCCCTAGTTGGTATCATAGTGCTTGGTCTGTCAGTTTAACATGAGCTGCCTGTCAGTTGTACCTCGAAAGTAGCAGTTAATATTTCCAGCTGCTTGTCAAGTCTTTGCTCTTAATTTCCGTTTCCTCACTCTACCTTTTCTTTATTTTTGTCTTGCAGATGCTCGTATTAAAAGATGAAGTAAGTTTACCTGCTATATATCTCATTATGTGACATTGACAATTTATTTATTTATACGTTTTTTTTTTGGCGTTTAGCTTGTCTTTTCTTCCGACCTTAGAATTAGGTATCATTTTTTGGATCTCTTTTACACTGCAACACTGATAATTAGAAGCAGGAGTTCTATATGCTTTAGTGCTCCGGTGTATTATTGTTTAGGATGCAAAACATGCCAACTTAGATAGCATTTTCTTAGTGTTCCCTTTGATGGTGCATTTTGCCCCCTTTCTTTCTCATTACTTTTATTCAATAGTTATCCATACTCGAGAATATCTTTTGCTATGATCTAATCTTCTATAAGAACCAACACATTTTATCTGTCAGTCTTTGTAAATTAATGGATCTAAAAGATTTCAAAGAAGTGTGATGCACATGGACTGATATATGATATGCTTGCAAGTTCAGGTCAGTGTGGGGAGACAGCTTTTACTAGTGCATTGCATGCTGTTTAACTTGTAGGGTATTCACTATTGATTTCGTATTTATACTATTTGTTATTGGTTACATATTGTTTGACAAATAAATGCACTTTGAAGGGCTTTGAGTTGTGGACTTATAAGGTACTAGTGTGCACCCCGTGCAAAGCACGACCCCCTATTTTTTTAAGTTATGCATTTTGAACTTACCTCCTCTAAGTTTTAATACATTTAATTTGATTATTGTATGCTTAAAATTAAAAATTATATCTACTCCTCTAAGTAGGAGGATCCAAGTTTTAATATATTTGATTTAGAAATCATATCTACTCATTTATACTTAGAGGAGGATCTAAGTTTTACTACATTTGATTTGATTTGCTGTTTATGATACAGTAAAATATTGTAGCAAAAACAGTAACTTCAAAAAATTAGTGGGAGATTTGATTTACTATTTCAGGTACGGTAATTTGCTGCAGCAGACGAACTGGGGTCAATTCACTATTCACAGCACAGTAGCACTGTAGCAAACTGTACATGAATAGTGATTTTTTGGATGTAGATATGAGCTTCCCCCTCAATTGGTCTTTTATGCTTCAGTAATTCCTTGCCCAGAAGCTTAGTACTAACTTTATAGAGGTCAATTTGATAGACTTGCATAATTTTGTTAAAGTTTTTCCATTGAGCATTCTCACTATTGAATTGTGCTTCATACCCATTCCAACAGGAAACAATCTTAATATTTGTGAGAGGAGAACAATGAAGAAGGTTAGATGACTATAAGAGTCCTGGAACCTTCCCAGTCTTAGACAGCCTCCTTCCGTTGTTTTTTCTGTGCATGTGACTAATAAGTTCAAGTGGAGGCGGATGGTAATTCAATGAGAGACTTTCAATGTTAAAGATCGTCTTGCCATAAACCTCTATGGTCTGTTGGCACATAGCTACAGACTTTCACTTGATTATCTTTTTCCTGGTTCTGTTATTTAAACCATACAACCAAGGGCAGTGCTTCAAAAATTCCATTTTGCATGAAGGAATCTCATGCCTAATATGAGTCTGAATGTGCATGTACGCTTCCTTCCCTCCAAATCCAAGTCAGCTCGGAGTATTAGTCAGTTACTTCATTTATGCTTTCCTGTCAAAATTTCAGTCACCCGTGATGTTGTGCTGTTCACATACTGATATGTTGAATTTGCTGATCTTATTGTAATTGCTGCAGCTTTCCATAGATTTTCCATTTTCTGTTTGCAGAGATAAACTACATAATAAAAGTGTTCTTAGATATTCTAAAACCAGGCCACATCATCTGATAATAATCCACTGTGATACTCTGTTATTTTTAAGGTTCTTTGCCTAACGAAAACTATGACTCGCATCATACAACATGCTGTGTTGCAAGACAGTGGAGAGTTATATGGTGCTGTCAAGGTTGATATTGTCTTGTTCTATCATTATTATTGTCTTCATACGATACCTAGTAATGATCTCAATTCTCAAGCAAAACATGAAAGCTATTGTGGAATATGATCTGAGATCTAGATTATTGGCAACAGATAGACCATAAAAGCTAGTTTCGTGCACGTGTATATTGTTCATTTTGCAATTCGAACAATTCCTTGGTTGGTGATTGGGATATAGACTTATGATTACCATCTTTTCAAGTTTTTTCCTAGAATTGTGAGTCAGTGCTAAATGGTCATCTTAAGTGTTGCTCAACATGGCTAAAGTGAACTTTGCTTAATTTCAAAGTGGTAAATTTCACTTCTCCTTAACCAGATATTAATAATGGGTTCAGATTGCCCACCTCTTTATATAGCTCTCAGAGAATTATGTTTGTATGAGTGCACTGCAGTGAGCAATTCAGACATCATACATACTGTTGAAAACCATCATATGTTTGCTTAGTTATATAGTGATTAGCTATCAATACATTACTGTTATCGCTTTTTTTTTCTGTGCACGGTCAACATTTCATTTATTGAGGTTGAATGCTCACTTCAGCTGAATAATGAATATTCTTTTAAAATCTGTGTTTTTCCTCAGAATGTTGCCATTGAACTTGTAGCGGAGCATATAGACGGTCAACACTCAAGACGTGATCATCTTCTTCAACAAAATGATGACAATTCCCTCCCCATATCAAGTTCATGTATTGAGCGCTTAGCTTCTGGCCTTGAAAATTATGTGCTCAAGCATGGAAATATTGTAGAAGAGAACTGCCAGACATGTGCTGCCAAAAGGTTAGTTTTCATATATTAAGTAGTTACTTGTATTTAGCTCATGATATCTATTTTTTGCAGCTTCTTCATGTATAGTTCTATTTAAATAGAGGAATATACAATAAAATGAGGATAAAAAACGAGTTCATCTTAAAAAAATTAGGGACTAAGGGCAAGATTAATGTCCATTCAGATGATATGGACTTGTGCAAGCGAAATTGCACAGTTAGTGGCAGGATCATAATTGCATGAGAAGCTAGGAGCTTGGTAGACCAAAATCAACATGCATTACGAAACAAACGAACAAGAAGATATGTCATTGCTGATTTAAAAGGTATCCCTTAACAAGGCTGAACAATAAAGAGGGCACTTATTTATTTAATTGCTCATTAAATTTTCTTTTGTTTCTTGCTCGCTCACCCTCTCTAATGTCCTGTATCAATATTTTATGTTGCCAAGATCACTATTGAGTTAGAGGTTTATTTGCTGGTTCCTCTTATTGACATAATTCGTATTCGTATTGTATGCATAATATACGCATGACTCTCTAATTTTTTATTATTCCATATTCTGTCTTATAGGGAACATTTAAAGGTTGGAACTGGACAAGCAAGCAACACAGGAAATGGTAAGAGTGCAGGACATATCGTGGATGTGGCGATTGTGATAGCAACCATGTCCTCAGAACAGTGTTGTTGGAGGGCAAACTCTTCAGTGACACAGGTTAACCTCTTTCAGTACTTGCCTTCTCTTTCAACTCATTTCACATCCTTCATTTATCTCCAGAAATAGAGCTTGACCTTTCACTTTTTAGTTAGATCAGGCATTATTTCATGCTTAACTTCTTTTCGATATATATTTTGGTAATGTCATCGTGAAGTCATACGCATAACTCATCATGTACCGATTTGGAAATATCCGTTGTATAATAGTTATTCACTTTTCTTTTATTTATATATGTTGATTTTTTTAAACATTCTTTGATACAATTAGGACCAGGTATGCATGCCCTTTTTGCTCGATGAGTAAAACCTGTAGAATATGAACCTAGTGTACCGTAAATGCAATTTTTTAATATGGTCCTTCTAACATTATGCTTTCCAGGTTTTATATTTTCAGGACTTCTCGCTGGCATCAATCTCAGATTCATCATTAAGTGCACTGATATCTGTCAACTGGCAAAATTATGGTTTGAAACTGAAGAGCAATTTTGTTGACAAAGACAGTCATGCTGTACTTGAATGGGATAATATACCATTATTTTCTCATATTGATATTGCCATTCACAGTTATAATAAAGGTATCCGGTATCACATGATTTATATCATGATATATGACATTCTCTAGTCATGATGCTCCTCAAATAAAATCATGAACAGTTACATGTTAGATTGTGGTATATTTTTTCCTTTCTCTTTGGACAGTTGTAAATTCCTTATTCATCTTTCTAAAGTAACAACGTTGCAATCACGCCAGAAGACTGCAGCTGAAAGAGCCCTTATTAAGAAAGCAGTTAAGAATGCTATGGATGACCTGAAGGCAAAGGATACTGGACTTTTTCTCAGCTCAAATGCTTTGAAGGTAAAATTAAATCCTTCAATTACTTTTTATGATGTTTCATAGTTCATGTATATTATGTCTGTGTTTGTATTTCTCATTCTTCACTACGTTAAGAAGCCTAACAAATGACGGTGAATGAGATGAATGGATTTAGGTCTCTTTACACAAAAGTTAAATGTTAAGCCACTAGTGGGTTCTGTCTGGATAATGATAAATAGATGTGTGCTTTAGTATATTGACAGCCAAAAGTTTTTCTCTCCCATAGTCCCTATTGATTTTGGAGACTAGGATTTGAAATTTACATGTATGCATCTTGCTAGTTATTTGAGACATGTCAGAATTCACTGACCAATATGTTCTCAGTCAACAGGTTAAAATGTATCTATATTTAGTAAAACATAAATCAGAACTTAGGGTTAACACACGAAGTGCATTTCTATTGTCAGATGCAAATATTTATCAACATAGTGCAACTGATACAACTTGATTATTGCACAGTGGTCCAAACAAAAGTAGCTATTTGTACCCATGTTTTATCAAATCATGTTTTGACCTGCTTAAACACTCTTGTACCAGTATTATTACTATAGACATTAAGTTTGCATGCAATGCGATATAGTGTTTGACCTAATCTTATTTCTCTTTCCCCCTATTCTCTTAAAAAAGCTGTTGGGTTAACCCTGCTCTTGTTTGAAATTATGTTTATCTATTTTTACTATTAATGCATTCAATGTATTGGTTTGTAAACATTAATGTGTGAAATATATAGTATTCTTGATATTTTCCGTATCTGATAATGAGATGCTGACATTATAAAAGCAAAGTTCGGAGTTGGGGTTCTGACCTCCGATGAATATTTGTTCTAATGTATATAAGAAGTGTAGTGCTATTCAAACTCGAGCCTTCTACAATCTAGCTCAAGGGTTCACGACATGTAAAACCTATGTACAGTAAATGAAATAGGTCCTAGAAGTAATTCGTAAGGTGGATTTGAGATAGGAAGTGTGGGTAAGAAAAGTGTTCATCATATAGAACTTAAAATTGCTTAGTAGTAGTTTGGGTGAAACTAGAGTTTCACTTATCAATGCTGTACTTCAGAAATCGAAACCATTCATGAGCCCAGAAGTAAGAGGGTTAATTGCAGATGCACCCTGTAGGAGGTTTAGCTACATATTACCCTTGTTTGATTTTATTAGCAATAGCACATACATCCCTTGGTCACGTTGACAGCATCACTTCTTCATTAGTTTTAAACTCCTGTTGGAATCACGTGATGATTAAAGTTAGACATTTGCCAAGAACATTCCCATGTGATTCCTACTATAGTTTGCAGTTTGAAAACTATCGAAAATTTACTGAGATCGTAGGGTGTATGTTCTGATAAAATAAAACATAGATTGTAAGTTGCTAAATCCTCAATAGTACAGAGGATGCAGCCAATCTTTTTTCATTTCTAATGCATTACAGGTTCGGCAATATGTTCCCGAACTTTCAAGAGCAATTGCTGGTCTGATCACATCATCAAACGATTGGGATTTCCAAAGCGAATGTGCTTCATTGCTTGGGTTGGACTCAGATGAAGCTGATCAGGAGGAAATTGTTGAATCTTGCATCAGGGATAAGATTGTTGGAATCATAGAGATTAATGATAGAAAAGTAAAAGGAGAAAGAGGTACTGCTCCCTGCCTCTTTGAAAGCGAAAGTCTGTATGAGGAAGAAGAGTACCCAGACGAAGATTGTGATGGCTTGGAGGAAGAAGATTTTAGTGTATTGGATGATTTTTAGGAGTACTTTAGTTATTGTTCAGTTGATCAACAATATATAATAGTTTGATTTTTTTTACCCCATATTATTGTTGTTCATGTGAGTAAAATCTTTGAAATGCAGTTTTCAGATTTTCTCATTGATGTTATATAATCTGACTGAACTCAGACTAAGAAATACATGCAAGAAGTTCATAGAGATTCTGCCAGTCTTAATTTCATCAGGCCATCAAATGAACAGAATTTACATCCTATCTATATTTCAAGATGTATTTATTTCTTGTGCATCGTTTCACCCGGTGTTTTTTATTCATAATGAAAACCAGTAATAAAGGAGATGCATCTTTGCCATTTAGTTGCGCCAGGAGATTTTCTGTGAAGAGACGGTCATGGTTTCACCCAGTTTTTTTTAGCATGCATTAATTAAGAAAATTCACTATTTTACTAGTCCCTTTAGATGGAGCACTTTTATCTATGAAAATGATTTGGTTTTTAGTTTTGAAACAACAATTAATAAAGATATTATTATTTTAACTTTACAGAAAAGAGTTAAGGTTTAACTATGCACTGCACATGAAGTTAGCATCAAAAACTGATTCTCCTTTGGCGCTATGAGATGAACGATTTTAAAGGAAATTCTATTCTATATACACAATCATTCAACATACGCAGTGCAGACAATAATAATGAATCAAGACTAGGATCCACCACATACAATTTTACTTGAAGCGATTACACTATGGTCTACTGCCCAAAGCAAACAATATATAACCTTGCATACTTCAAACATTCTCATTGTCATCAGTAGCCGCTTGCCATGAGAAGAGTAAAGAATCCAAATTACTTTTGTACCAACGGGATACTTGAGGTGAACGGTTTATGAATAAAATGAAAATGTAGTACAACACCGCACCAAGTATCAAATGAATACAGAGAGAGCACCAAAATGCCCATATTGATCAGCCTGCTACCATTAAGTACAATATTCAGCTTTGAATCGGGGAAAAACATCCAATCGGTAAAAGAAGCAGATGACATTAACAGGAAAATAACAAGTGCTCAAAGAGCGAAAACATCTCCAGATTTTTCAGAAAACAATTATGGATATACCCATTGCAAAGCATCCTAGTGCTACCCATGGGCTTAGTCGTTCACCTGAATCATGAAAAAAGTATATATATCATCACAACAAGGTTACCAAACTGAACATGACATCTTAAGAGAATAAAGATGAGCCGCAATAAAAAGAAAACTTCTCGTCAAATTTAAACAGGCTTTTTCTTTATCAAGAGGATCCAAGAGTCCTCGCAAGAGATTAAGCAGATATGTGGCAGTTATGACCAATAGAAATATTTGTTTCTGTGGCAACATGAGTATCAGTTACGTCTTACTATTACTAAGAGTTGGAACATAGGGACATTTGGGATATAAATGCAATGGGTTTTGGCACAACTCTCGATGACCATGGTCATCCTTCAGCGAGGTGCACCAAAGTTTAATGTATTCAAAGAAAGAGATTGGCCTCAGCAAAATACATTCCTACTGGATGGCAAACCAGTATTCAGACATCTATTAATCTACAAGGAAACATCTAGTTTGAGCGTAGGACAACCATTGTGAAGTAGGCAAAAGCAAAAACAAGACAGAATCAATAGCATTAAGTTCATATTTTATTGCACAATTGAGTACCAACACTAATTAGTTCACTCTTAACATTGCTGGATTTATTCTATGGGTCCACAACTTAATTAAATATGTACTGAAGATATATCTGAAATATGCAAATGAATGTGCGCTGTATTGATGAAGTAATAAACACATATATTGTATTGCAAAAGTCTAAATAATTAGAAAACAATCTAAGCCATCAACATTCTCGACTTACCACGTTTTATGTAATTATATGTTCCACCATCAATTTCTTTATCATATAACTATCTAAGCATAACATTTCTACAAGTAGTTATTTATACTACTTTCCTGTGCTAACAAAAGAAATTGAAATGTAGCAGAGAACATAGTCAATCAGATGAAGAAAAAAGACATACCTATTCTAGCAGCTTTCCAGAAGAAGCCACGGAACCTGCCAAAATAAAATCTTATGAGAAATTTAATCACACAGACCCATCAGTTAGCCTGCACAACATTTACTTATGCATACAAAATAGAATGGTTATATGCTGCTTTTATCAAAGGTTTGATAAGGGTAGCATGTTTAATAAGAACCTCCCCCTTAATAGAGCTGGGTGTGAGTCAGGGCATGCGCGCGCACGTGTTGGTGGGTGGTTTTTTTTGGGGGTCAGATTTGGTTTTTTTTGGGGGTGGGGGGGG